TCCTTCCTTCCTTCCTTCCTTCCTTCCTTCCTTCCTTCCTTCCTTCCCTCCTTCCCACCTCAAGATAAAGAAGGAATGAATGATCTGTGCACATGACATTTCATGTTCCATATGACTTTGGCACTATATGACATGTGTCAAACGCTTGTCCAAATTTGGCACAGGCCACGTCTGTTTCTTGAAGTAGGTTCCCTCAGTAATTTTTCCCTATTAAAACTTTTATACAGCTGGTAAAATTTCTTTTCCATTTCTCTTTATTTTCTCCCTTTGTTGTGCCTGTAAACCAGTCTCCTAAAATAAAATAAAATAAAAAAAAAACGAGGAGGCAAATTAGCTCTGTTGACACCCAGTTGAAGGCAGGGAAGAGTCGTGTGGGTGTATGTCAGATTGCCACCCACCCTGCCAGGGAATAAACTTCTGCTTCCTCTCTTAGGCTGGTTCTGTTTGAAGAGGAATTCTGCAAAAAAAAAAAAAAAAAAAAAGAAACACAATCATATTCCTTTGTGTAAATTAAATGAATAAACACAATTAAAAATTAAAAGGTTGCTATCGGGAAACGGAGACTTGATATAAATAAATGGGACCATTCTTGTTAGTTACAGAAGCCAAGACAATAAAGCAGAGACCATAGTGTTGTTTGTTTTATTTTTTAAATCCCACTTTGGGATATTTTTTTGCTCAGTGCATTTATGGGTAGTCAGTCCTCAGCTTACTGCCCGAGTCCAAAATTTCCTAAGCAAATTTCCTAAGCAAGATGGCGGTTAAGTGAACTTGAGGCCTATTTGATTACTTTTTTTTTTTTTGGCCACAGTTGCTAAGTGAATCATGGCAATGGTTCAGGGAATTATGCAGTTGGTAAGTGAATCCGGCTTCCCCCCCCATTGACTTTCCTGCTTGGAAGCCATCTGGGAAGGTTGCAAATGAGGACCCCGGGACGTTGTGACCGTCATAAATAGGAGTCAGTTGCCAAGCCCCTGTATTTTGATCATGTGACATGGGGATGTGGCATCGCTTGAGACCTTCAAGAAGAGATTGGACTGCCATTTGTCAGAAATGGTGTAGGGTCTCCCACTTGGGCAGGGGGTTGGACTAGATGACCTACAAGGTCCCTTCCAACTCTGATTATACGTTATCTGGATGCTGCAACGATTGTAAGTCTGAAACTGGTCAGAAGTCACCTGACTTTTTTTTTTTCATAACTTCAAACAGTCACTAAATAAGTGGTTGTAAGCAAGGCAGGGTTGGGATTCAAATTTTATTTTACTACCGGTTCTGTGGGCGTGGTTTGTGGGCATGGCAGGGAAAGGATACTTCAAAATCCCATTCCCTCCCCACCCCAGTAACCTGCTTTGCAGCTCCGTTCTCCTGTGCGGGGCAACCAAAGAAGACCCAGCCAATCAGCAGGGACTCGGGAGGTGGAGAATCGAGGGGGGCGGGGCCAGTCAGAGGCGGTATTTGCTGGTTCTCCAAACTACTCAAAATTTCCGCTACCAGTTCTCCAGAACTGGTCAGAACCTGCTGAATATCACCTCTGAAGCAGGAGTAGGATACTGCTGGTTCAGGCCGGTTCGGGCAAACCCCTTGTTCCGACAATCAGCTGCCTCCGTCACTTCACTCCAACGAGCATGTGAGCCCGCCTGCCCCTGCTCTTTCCTGTTCTTTATGTCTTTTTGTTAGAGCACAGCTGATTCGCACGGCAGAGCGATTTTCCGTGCCTCAGCTGTTTTCTTCAGCTGCAGTTGAAGGTAAGTATTAGCTATTTAAAATGTGGAGCATGCACGCAGAGCGTGCATCTGTCATGCATGTTCTCACCGAACTGGTTGTTATACCGGTTGAATTGCACCCCTGGTTGTAAGTCTGTATATACAGGTGTATATATACATGTGTAGGTATATACAGGTGACTCTTGACTTACAACAGTTCATTTAGCAATAGCAATAGCACTTAGACTTGTATACCGCTTTACAGTGTTTTACAGCTCTCTCTAAGCAGTTTTAGAGAGTCAGCCTATTGCCCCCCAAAATGTGACTCCTCATTTGACCCACCTCGGAAGGATGGAAGGATGAGTCAACCTTGAGCCTGGTGGGATTTGAGCTGCCAAATTGCAGGCAGCTGGCAGGCAGCAGAAGTAGCCTGCAGTACCGCACTCTAACCACTGAGCCACAGAGGCTCCTTTATTTTTTATTTTATTTATTGATTCATTCATTCATTTATGTTGATAAGATTTAGTTGAAAGACCATTCATAGTTACGAAGGCACAGTAAAAAGAGTGACTTATGACCATTTTTCACACTTACAACCATTGCAGCATCCCTGTGGTCATGTGATCAACTTTCAGATGCTTGGGCAATTGACTCATATTTATGATGGTTGCACTGTCCCAGGATCTCCTTTTGTGACGTTCTGACAAGCCAGATTCACTTAAGAACAGTTTGACTAGTTTAACAACTGCAGCGATTCACTGGAGCGACTGCGTCAAGAAAGGTCGTAACATGGGGCAAAACTCATTTAACAAACGTCTCGCTTAACAGCAGAAATGCGGGGCTCCGTTGTGGTCGTAAGTTAAGGACTACCTGTATTCCTTTTCTCGGGCCTAGGGCAATTGATGTCTCTTCTGAAAATTGCCATTTTTAGCAGAGCCATTAGGGAGCAATTTTAATTTCTGAGACAGATCTGCACATCATATGTAGGTTACGATGGGTAAGACGTATCTTTGGGGAATTTCCTTCATCCTCCTGTACACTGGATGATGCTGTAGCTCAGTGGCAGTTCGCACGATCGGTCTGGGGAGAAATCTTGTGGCCAGCTGCTGCTGATCAGAGTTGGCAGGACTGAAATAGATGGGCCAGATGGTTTGAGTATATATAAAGGTGCTTCCTCTGTTTATATATTAATATTGCAGCAAAACAGAATGAGGTAATGGTGAAGAGCTGGGACAGGCAATCTGTTGTTCACCACAGCCCCTCCAATCTTTTGCCATCAATTGCTTTAGAAATCAATTTGAGAGATGGTTGTTGATCCAAGCTTTTGCTACGTAATTATCAAGGTGTTGTTAGTGGGAAAAGCGTAGATCCGGGAGCAGAGAGAGAGAGACCTGAATTTAATCTGTCTTCAGCTATTGAAGCTCCTGGGATGATTTGAACCTTGTCACTTTCTTTTGGTCCAGTTGTTACAAGGAAAAAAAAAGGATGGAAAGTTAGGTATGGTGATTGGAAAGGCATATATTCTTGCTTTTCAAAAGAGCAATAATAGCAATAGAGTGACAGTCTAACCAGTAAGGAACAGGTGGAGCATTGCAACATAAGCTCTTTTGTATGTCCATTGTCATTGGAAGTCGGGCAACACATCAATTTCACACCACGTTTTTTCTATGTTGTTGAAAAAGTCACTTCTCGGCCATAGACCCTGCCTTTTGGAACATTCTTCCTCCGGAGATTAGAATGGCACCAACCCTCTTGGCTATCAACTCATAAAACATTCCTATGCCTGTTTTAGTAGTTGCCATTAAAAAAGGGGCGGGGGGAGAATCTGGAAGAGCAGTGCAGCAGTTTGGAATCGAAAGTACATTCCAACTCTTACCTTTAAAGGATTGTAACTAAACTACCAGAGCTTTTGCCCACAAATATATTTCATTGGAGAACGTGAATGATAACTCCAAGCTCATGAATGTGCTTAATTGCAGAATCTGATTTATGAGACATCCAGTGGGGGGGGGGGGGGGGAGAAACAGAGTCACAGGTGACTGTAAATTACATATGCCAGAGTTGGCTTCATACAGCGCAATGTCAATATGTCGCCTCTAATAAATCTTGGGAAGTTTTTTGAAGTTTGACTCAAGAATTATAATTTAATTAGGGCTGGAATCCTGACATTGGCCTTTCATAATACCTTGAAGACCTAGTTATGCACATGGGCTTGGGGTCTCAATGTGCTAAGGGCCACTTTACTTGCTTATATTAATATTTCTTTTTAGAATTTTTATTTATTTATTTATTTCTCTGTTACAGTTGTACATAGCTGCAATTGCTTTTGTGATTGTTCACCACCCATAAGCATTTGTTTGAAATGGGCAGGTACAGAAATTGAATGGATGGATGGACAGACAGATGGATGAACGAATGAATGGATGGATGAATTAATGACTAAGTGCTGCTTCATCTGGACAGCAGGATATCTCTAGCACATGCAATAATAATTTACCACTTGGATCATCTTCATTGACTTTATATGCCTTTGTATCAGAGTTGTTAATATGGACAACTCTGGGCTGATCCAGCAAAGCAAAGGCATTGCATGTGGTGGATTCTGGGAAGGGAAAGGGCTGCAGGGACAAGTCCAAGCAGTCAGCAGGAGGTAAACCCTGACTTGAAGGTTTCCTTGTGAGGAGTAGCTCTTGTAGAGTACAAATAGAGGATCTCAAAGATCTCTCCTCATCTCTGGAAAGATTTTCATTGGTAAAGACTGGCTCCTGGCCAGTGATTCCACCACAGTACTGTTCCCCTTCAAGGAGTTGCTTGAAAGGACCTCTGACCAGGTATCAGTTCTCACCTAGGAACCCCAAATAGTAATATATATTGAGTCACTCCTTGTTTTCTGATATTTCTGGAAGTACCATGGAATAATGGGATGTAAAAATTCTACCAATTTTGATCCATGATAATGGAAAGACAGGTAGCTGCTCTGTTCTGCTGCCAAGAAGCATTGAGGTTTATTACACTGATGGCCTCTGGGTATTGTAATAACCAACAGAGTGCGGTTTAGTCAGAAGCAACTAATGTTAAATGATTCAAGAAAGCAGAATGGAAATTAAATGGCTTGATCCAGGTGGAGTTAGGCGTTTCAGAGCAATAAAGACTGAAGGAATTCTAGAGGAATGGTAAATAATTCTCATGGTCTCCTTGACTATAATAGAAGCAGTGATCAGGTTGGCATGGCACTTCGTTTGCGTGCATGTGTAAAAATGCAGCCTCTTTGGAGGTGACTGGAGTTTTAAGGTGGGAAGTATGTTGAGCTCTTTATGCAATAGATACCAGTTATAGCTATCACCAAGAACATTGCTATGATTCAAATACTCATAATTTTCTAAACTGAGCAGAAAAGAGACATAATGACCAATGGGAGATTGCCATACATATATATATATATATAATGTTAAACACACACACACACAGACACACACACAGAGAGACACAGACACACACACACATAATGTTAAGATGGAGAGAGCATTTCCACCCTTAAAATTCCACAAGAAGAAGGCAAATGGGATGCAAAACTAATTTTGGACTGTTTTACAATTCACCCAAATTCTGCCAAAAATGAACCAAGATCTACTGTGCTACTTAACATTGTTGTTGTTGTTGTTATGGGGGTTTCAAGATGGGAGTGGGAGCCTTAATCTACGTTCTGTCTATTCCAGTCAGTGTTTTGCCCTGAGGTCCAGTTGATGGGCTAGGAAATTTGGACCAGCATAAAAAATCTTGCAACTCTGGAGTTTGTCATATTTTGTCAGGTGCAAAGGATCGGACAAAACCTTTGGTTATACTTCAGATATATATTCATTGCTTCAGCCTATACACAAGAATCTAGTGAACTAAAAGTTCAGTAGTAAACTGGTGCTAGATAAGGCCAATGGAATTCAAGAAAGGTTGGATTTGGACCATTGATGCCAATATGAAGATTCTATGCTGATGATACACTTAACTCTGCCCCCACCTGGTCTCTTACATGTCTTTTGCTAGGCTGTAAATTGGATTTGTAAGGTTGCTTGGATTACAAAGGATGGGAAGAACAAGAGTTACTGTGGATTCGTGTGCATGTTTCTTATGCCATTATGAGTTTATGACAGCATTATCAGATATACAGAACCTCAGATTCAAATATTGCTGGTTAAACAAATTGTGTTCTTCTCCTCTCTTTCCATCACAGGTTCTTATCTGATGGTCAATTCCTCCCAGCACAATCCAGGGCAGAAAGCACAGGTCCTCTTCCAGACATTGAGTGAAAATGACACTCACTGCCTCCAGTTCAGCTACTTCATGTACAGTCGGGATGGGCACAGTCCTGGGACTTTGAATGTCTTTGTCAAGATGAATGGAGGGCCATTGGGAAGCGTGGTGTGGAATGTCTCTGGCTCCCATGGGCGGCAATGGCATCAGGTGGAGCTTGCTGTCAGCATGTTTTGGCCCAATGAGTACCAGGTGAGAGGAGAGTTGTTGTCAGGTGCAAAAAAACAGGAAGCAAAGCAGTTCAAATGACCATAGGTTCATTGCACGCTAACACTGTTTACAAGAATCTGAGCTACTAATGGTCAAAGCAAATTGATGGTAGATAGGAATCAATGGAATTCAAGCGGGGCTGGACTTAGCTCTCTTGCTGGCATGAAGGGACTCGAGACTGATGACATGCTTGACTCCTCCCTCAGGCTCAGCTTGGTCATCTCATACAGTTACCTTTCTGGAGAAACCTTGTGGGGAGATTTGGGATAAATTCTGATGCTTGAGGGAAATCATCTACTGAAAAGGGAAGTGTTTGGCTGAATTTACATACAGAACCCTAAACCATACCATGGATTAGCAAAACATGTTTACCATGTTCACTGAACATGCCAAATCCAAAGTAATAAACTGTACTATGTCTTATTGCAATGGGCTGAGATAATTACTGGATTTCCTGTCTTCTACCAACTACAAGGTGTGAACGCTTGTAGTCTACTCTACTTGTTACATGCCCAACTAGGTGGCAGCACCTAGCTCTCCTTTTAAAGATCTGAAAAAGCTAAGCAGTATTTTTTTTTTTTAGTTCTTGCTTGAGTGAATGCCAATAAATCCCAGATGTAGATTAGAGTTGGGAATTCACAAGAAAGTCCCAGAAAAATATAATGGTACACCACTTCCAGTTGTTCCAAAAGCTGCATGGATATTGCATGAAATCAACAGAAGTTGAGCTTGAATGGAAATGCACTTGATTTTAATATGCTATGGAAATCCAGCTCTTCATTTATGAGAAAAATGAACGTGCAAAGCAAGAGGATTTCACTGGATTGTCAATAGTAATTGTCTAATAATTAATTAATTGTCACTTAGCCCATTCTTTTTATCCTCCTGGGATGGATGCTTGTCACTGTATAATCTGACTGATCTATGCTAATTTCTGCTTTATGATCAGACGAGATTTATTATCACACTCCCTCCAAAGGAAGTTGATCATCGGCTTCAGATAGTCTTCCCCTCAATCTAGGTAGCTGAAAATCCATGATCCCCTTTATGGCATTCTTTGCAGTTCTTCAATAACCTTGCAAATTGAAAGAGAATTTATTGAGGGGGAAAAATTAGCCTTGGGCAGCAACTGAATATCAACTGGCTTGACAGCTCCTTTGTGCTCAAAATTGCCCCAAATGTTGTAGATTATCAGGGATGCCAAAACTTCAGCCAATTATATGGGGCAGTAAATTAAGTTGTGCAAACAAGGTCCTTATTTTATTTTCTTGGATTCCTTACATTTTTTAAAAAAAACATAACAAAGGCACAACCAAAACCAAACTATTATGAAAATAATTAGTGAAAATATGAGTTAGATTTCTATCCTCTAAAAGTTCAAGTTGATACAGGTACTCCTTGACTTCTGTTGCTAAGTGAGACACTTGTTAAGTGAGTTTTGCCCCCATTTTACACACTTTTTTGCCACAGTTGTTAAGGGAATCACTGCACTTGTTAAATTAGTAACAGTTGTTAAGTGGATCTGGCTTTCCGATTGACTTGCTTTTTAGAAGGTTGCCAAAGGGGATCACATGACCCCAGGACACTGCAAACTGTCATAAATATAAGTCAATTGCCAAGCATCTGAATTTTGATCCCATGATTATGGGGATGCTGTAATTGTTGTAAGTGTGAGAAATAGTAATAAGTGACTTTTTTCAGTGATGTTGTAACTTCGAATGATCACTAAATGAACTGTTGTAAGTCGAGGACTACCTGTATTTATGTTTTCTTTCTTTACACAATGCTCTTTAGACAGATTAGTTAATGGGTTAGATCAGAGGTCTCCAAACTAGGCAACTTTAAGACTTGTGGACTTCCACTCCCAGAATTCTCCAGCCAAGCATGGCTTACTGTTTTGTAATCCCTTCCTCTGCAATCTCTCTCCACTTTAGGAGATTAAGAGAGAAAAAAAAGCAGGCATAGCTGGCAGGAGAATTCTGGGAGTTGAAGTCCACAAATCTTAAAGTTGCCAAGTTTGGGGACCCCTGGGTTGGATTAAGGTAGTGCCCAACCGAGACCCACCCAGTGAATTTCAGAGTCAGAGTTGAAATAAGGTCTCCCCTGTTCTACTCCAATATTCCAGCTGTAACACCAGAATGCCTCTTATTTATCCAAAGGTATTGTTTGAAGCAGTCGTTTCCAATGAAAGGCACGGCTACTTGGGATTGGATGACATCCTGCTCTTGAATTATCCCTGCTGTAAGTGATCAACTTTTCCATTCCATTAGTAGCACAGACTTGTTCCAGGTCCCTTATGGCTAGCTTTTGTCTAAAAACTTGGTCCTTGGGAAGATGACAGACGATGCAGTGAGGAAGATGATTTCACAGTGAAATTTGCAATCATACTGGGGATAATAAATACTAGGGTTCTGCTACTATTTGGGTTTATTCCAAAAAGGTTTTCTGTCTTTCCAAGGGCATGAAAATAGCACCTGCCTGCAATTCTTCACAACAAACACCCCCAGCCCCCACATTTTGGATTTCCAATTACTAGGAAAGACACAATTGCTTTAATAAGTTGCAGAGAGGCGTTATGTTCTCATCCTTATAAAGTCCCTTTATGAAGTAAATAAATAAAGATGTAATAAACATGAGGAGCGAGTAAGTGGAGTGAACTAGTGCCCCAAAGATATTCTGGCAGTTACTCTCTCTTTAAAGTCTGTTTAGAGTTAAATTAATCCACCCACCCTCGACCTGTTTTATACTCATTTTTTTGAGCTATATCATTTATGTAGGAGGGGATTAACTGTAGAAGTTTTTTCTACAGATCTTTTTGTCTTTTTATCTTTCTTTTGGCAGCCAAAGCACCTCATTTTTCCCGCCTGGGTGATGTGGAGGTAAATGCTGGACAGAATGCCACTTTTCAGTGTGTAGCTGCTGGCAAGGCTTCGGAAACAGAGAGATTCCTCATGCAGGTAAGCGGGAATAAGTTTTCCCAATTTACTCTCCTTGCCTTATTTATCTCTTCCTGTTTGCTTTTGTTTTCTTCCGTGAGGGGTGAGTTCAACCTGTCCTTTGTGTTCCACCATTGCCTGAAATAATACCCTCTGTATAGGAGGTTGCATTTGGTATACTTGAGGGTAGGCTGAAATAAGCTTTCCATGAAGATTGCTGATCCGCAATTTACCAGAATCCCCGAGTTTTCCCCTTTTCCAGAATTGATTGTTGCTGGCAGGTTCTTCCACTCATAACTCAATCTCTCTTTTGCAGTCTTAGAGAAACACTTTTTTCAGAAGAAGATGATTGTCTATGTTTTTGTTTAATTTGCTCCAGAGGAGTAAACTTTCCTTGTATTTTTAAATAGAAAGGGTAGCAAATTCTAAAAAGGCAGACCATATACCGCCATTCCTTCCTATAAAACATGATCCGAGGTGGCGCAGTGGTTAGAATGCAGTACTGCAGGCTGTTTCTGCTGAGTGCCGGCTGCTTGCGATTTGCCAGTTCAAATCACACCAGGCTCAAGGTGTCAAGCCTGAATTCAGTTCAGTGGTGGGACTGCTTTATATCTGGGTTATTCATGTGAATTCAGACACACTTGAGAACTGGAAGGTGGGAGAGCTGAGGTGGATGGAGCTCCAGCCAAAACAACATAGCTGGACAATGAGTCAGCCACGTTCCAATGGCTGCTTGGCCAGAGGAAGAAGGAAACCATTTCACATCCTGGTGATATATTGTTTTGGAAAATTGAGAAAATTCCGGTTATAGTGATGTGGAAAGCTGGGAAACTTTCAGTACCAGCTTTCTACCAGTTAGAACCAAGATGGTGTATCTTAATAAACTTGCTCTTTGAGGAATTGAAATGCCTCAGAGTTTGCTTTATAACAATTGCATTTCTTGGAATCTGACACAAGGTTGACTCAGCCTTCCATCCTTCTGAGGTCGGTAAAATGAGGACTCAGAGGCTGACTCTGTAAACTGCTTAGAGAGGGTTGTAAACAGGGGTGGGATTCTACCGGTTCGGCCCAGTTCTATAGAACTGGTAGCTCCCCAAGAGCAGCTGACCAAACTGGTTCTATCTGAAGGTCTTCTTTTCTTCAGTTGAGTCCACCCACCCACCCGGGCTCTAGGCTGTCCTTTATTCTTATCTTAGTTGCTTTGTGTGGCACAGCTTAATGCTGCGCATCAGCAGGAGATGGTGATTGCTTGCAGGAGAAGTTGTTTTACAAGTACCGTGCACTCACGCGCAAAGCGCACACTCACCGAACTGGTTGTTATGCCGATAGGATCCCACCCCTGGCTGTAAAAACCCTATGAAGCGGTATATAAGTCTAAGTGCTATTGCTATGATGCTTACATAGGCTGCAATTACCCATTTCTTCAGAGCAGGGTTGATGGTATTCTTGTTTTTCTGAATGGTAGAAGCAGAATGGGGTTGTCATTCCCACCGTCTCGGTCAAGCACATCAGTCACAGAAGATTTTTGGCTACATTTCAACTGGATCAAGTACTGAAAGGAGACCAGGACTTGTACCGCTGTGTGACTCAGTCTAGCAGGGGCTCTGGTGTCAGTAACTTTGCTGAGCTGATAGTCAAAGGTATGTATCTGTGGGTGTTGGGATTGCCTTATCTAGTCACCCTGGGCAAAGGCAGACCTGGATATTGGAAGCCTGAAGAATAATTGGAATCCTATTTGTCAATAGAGTTATTCCTCAACTTATGTCCACAACCAAACCCCAGATTTCTGTTGCTAAGTGAGACATATGTCAAGTGAGTTTTGCACCGTGTTATGACTTCCCTTGCCATGGTTGTTAAGCAAATCACTTCAGTTCTTAATTTAGTAATACAGTTGTTAAGCCAACCTGGTTTTCCCCGTTGACCTTCCTTGTCAGAAGGTTGCAAAAGGGAATCATGTGACACACACACACCCCCGGGACGTTGCAGCTGTCCTAAGTATGAGTCGGTTGCACCAAGCATCTGAGTTTTTAATCACATGACCATGGGGATGCCAC